CATCCTTGAGAATCCGAGTTGAAGAGGACGCGTAAGACGGATCTGATGTCGTAACCGGAGCGGTAGTATTCATCCTCCAATGCTTTGACCGCTTCGGGGTCTCGCGGCGGTATGTCCTGCCACGCGGGAACCTGGGGTTCGTCAGCCACGAAGAAGTTATAAAGGTGTCGGGCGACGAATCTTGCCGCGGACGGTTGCTTGGCGATGATGTTGATTATGTCCTCACCGTTCCAGTGACCTGTCTCGCCCAGAAAGGTCTTCTCGTTATTGTCATGGTCGTCGGGGTTGTAGAAGAACTTGGACTCGTAGCGGCCGTAGGGATATCGAGGGACGGCATTGGCGATGGTCCAACCGGTAAACGCCTCGGCACAGGCCTTCACATCGTCCTCGGTGTAGTTGGGCTTACCGTCCATGCCCACCCCCAAGGAAAACAACTCCAGCAACTCCCTCCCGTAGTTTTCGTTGATGGCGCCCTTATGGCTCATGCAATTATCCAGATAGAACACCATTGCCGGGTCGTGGGACAATTCCAGCAGCAAGCGTGGAAAACTTCCCATTCCATGTTCGCGGAACATATCCAACTGCAACTGAATCTGGCGCCCGTGCTCGCACTTGGAATTGCCGGTGCAAAGAATCCCGTGCCAGAACAGGGTCATCTTCTCTTCCAGCGGACGCTGGGTGTTGATCATGCGGTAGGTCCAATACGACTGGTTGACCTCCAGCGCGTTCATTTCCTTCCAGTCGACGAAGTAACGCTCCAGGATGTCCATCTCCAGGTTAGCTTGGGTTTCAGGGTGGAGCAGTTCCTCCACGGTGGCCTCATATCCTTTGGCGGCGCGCCGCTCCAACTCCTCGTAACTGGCGCTGAAGCCCGCGCGACGCATCAAGTGGGCCATTAATTGGATGTCTGAATTGGCCATACCGTTCACTCCTTTTGGAACTGATTCCGGTCGTATTTCAATTTCAACAGCGCTCATCTCTGAATATAACGCCGTCGACCACATGGGAACATTATCCGGCAATGGTTCAATAAGCCATGCAATCATCCCACGCATCGCCGGTTTCGGGAACGCAATGCGACTGAAACGCTCGCAACGCGAACACGCAGTCCCCAATTGACCGTTTTCTGCCGCATTCGATAGGGGCCATATTAGTCTTGCGTGAGCTTGAGTGTCAACCGGAATTATCCACTCCGGGCCGGGCGTGTGTCTGCGGACAACGATTGTTTGTGTGGACGGATGCCGTTATAGCTCAAACAAAAAGGGCGACGCTTTCGTCGCCCTAAGTCTAGCTGAGTCGGTTCTCACTAAGCTGCAATTAACTTGTATCCCCGAAACCCTGCACTTAGTTATACGGTCAGCTTCGCGGTGCTGCCCAGAAGAATCTGCTCTACATGGTCCGCAATCTCTTCAGAGCCCATCTTCGCATGCTACGGCGCAGGAGCGGAAGGCTGTGAGAGAGGCCGTATTGTGCTTGCTCGTGCCACAACGAAATCGTAATCGGGCACTCCCATCATTCTGGTCATTGCCTTTGCTGTTGGCAGGAATACGTGTGTGATAATGGAGGCTGTGGGGATTCCCAGTCTCTCCATCTCAATGCCGTCGTGCACACTGCACGAACTGCAGGACCCTCAATCACCCACCCCGACAATCAAGGCATCCACTTGGTCCAGCATATCTTGCACCGTCTCCGGCTTGGTAGGCAGCGAAGCGGAGTGTTTGCTGAACATCACCACGTCTTTGATGTCGTGCTTCTTCTTGAGAATTTCACCCAGTTCCAGAAGGACCTTGTCGGAATTGGCTTTGCTGTTTTCCAACAGACCAATCACTTTTCCGCTAAGATCGCCCGATCGTTCGTTAAGGCTCGAGAAGGTCTCCAGCGCGACTACGCGTCGGTGCCGCTGGGTTCACCAACCGCATGTTCCGGACGTCTACAGTATCCGCCATACTCCCTCCTTTATAGGTCTATATTCAAAGGTCGCCGGGAATAAAGTAATCACCTTTGGTTCCCCCAATGATACACGGCGCCGGTTGTTTTGCAAACCGGACTAATTCGGTATTTCCACTTTTCGGGTGCGAATCCGGTAGCCGGTGGTGTCGATTATGGCACTGTTGCGACCGCCGGTGCCGCCGCCCATCAAAAACAGGATATCCTCCGCGTTCCTTGAGCAACGGCGCACCAGTTGGTCGTCGCCGGACTTCTCCGGACCTTGCGCTACGCCCAACCGGATCAACTCCGCCAGTGGACGGTTGGCATGCTCCATCAGGTAGTCCTGCATGCCCTTCCCTGTCCCGCGTCTCCTGGCAAGTTATGGCTGTTTCCCGGCCTCGCTGACAATCACCCACTGGGCCGGGAACCGCCACGCCAGGCAGGCGGACTTCAGGGTGTCAACCAAGGAAGACAGGATCGACTCGCCGGTGTGCCCATAGGCGTTGTTGACCGTGATGGGATTGTAAGCCACCGCCACCGTCACGCAACTGTCCTCGGGTTGGAAACCCCGGCTAACGTGCAACGGTTCCCACGGCGAGTCTTCTTCGTTCTCAGCGATGCACAAGGTGTACTTCCACGGGTTTCCCAGTGTACCTCGGTCAAGAATGCCCGGCCTGGCATCGAAGCCGTTCATAAAGCAGAGCCTTATGGAACGCCCCAAGCAGGCGTTGGCCCTGAAGCCCGGGCCGAAAAGCCCGTCCTTGGAGTTGAGCCCTATCTGCTCGCGCACCGGGCCGTTAACTACCATCAAAATCGCCGGCGAACTGGTGGACGCCGAGGCCATGTGGACGAAGTTCCGTTCGTCTTCCAAGGCCTGCAGGGTGGAAAGGAGAACAGGGAAATACTCTGGGAGGCACCCCGCCATCACGGCGTTGGCGGCGGCGTTTTCCGACGTAAGCACCCTTCGGCGCATCTCCAGAGAGAGCACCTCTTCCTCGCCGGTCATGTTCACGTATTCCAGCATCTCCCGCACTTTATAATCGGTTGGCGGGACTACCGGCAAGCCATCGCTCCACCCTAAGCGATAGCATTCTTCAATAGCCTCAATGGTGTCGCTGAATTCCACTGCGGCAGACCTTTCCGATCCTGTGGTCATGGGCAACCTCCCGAATTTCTTAGGCCTTTGATAACTTAACGTGAGTTGTCGTATAGCCTTCGAATTCGTCCGTTTTGTCTGCGCGATGAACGCCTCTAACGTCTGACCTCGAGCTCCTCTAACACAGTTACCACATGTGACTCACAACAATTGTTAACTGTCAAATTCGGCGTCGGACGCTGTGCTAAATACCTAGTGATGGGCATTGAAGATACTCTTTGGCATAGCCTGACGTGTTCTCCCATATACAGGCTACTCATGTGTACCTTTTTGTTCATGCACTATCCATAGGCTAGTGGATCACCCGGCGCTGAACGGAACCATTGCACTTATTGTACGGTGGTCCCTTCTACACGTTTGGAAACCTTAGCTGTACGCCGGCCTTCTCCTCTTGAATCCGGCACACGGCGTCGGAATCCTCCGGACCCCAGCCCCGGAACATGGCTTCCACGTGGCGCTGGTCCACCAGGTTCGACAACTCCATGGGTATGCCGTACTCTCGACCAAGGTCCGTAGCCAAACGGACGTCCTTGGCGGCCAATGCTGTGGCGAACCCGGGCTCGAAGTTACCCTTGAAAAGGAATCGGGGCAGCTTCTCCGTCAAGCGTCGGGACTGCGAGTCTGTTTGCATCCCTGTCTGTGCCAGCACCTCCAGTCGCCCCACTCGCCTTTACACCCAGGGTCAAAGATTCAGCCAGCAGCACGCCGATGCCCATGCTGAGCAGATTGTTGCATATCTTGCACACCGACCCGTTGCCTACGGGCCCGCAAAACACTACGTGGCTCCCGATGGCGTCCAGTGTGGGTTTCAATCGGTTGAATGTACCCTCGTCACCGCCCACCATAACGGCCAAGGTGCCCGCCGCTGCGCCATAGACCCCGCCGCTTACCGGCGCATCCAGCATCGTCACGCCGCGGGCGGCGCAGACTTGATGCAGGCGTCGCACCACGGTGGGAGAGTTGGTGGATAAGTCTACGTAGAGAGACCCATCACTTGCGCCTTCCAGTATTCCGTTTTCTTCCTTCTCCCCTCCGCACCGCGCTTCTACGTCCCTTGGGACCGGCAGGGAAGTGAACGACCACCCATCGTTTGCACCGGACACGCGTCTTGTGGGGCAGTTGTCCAGCCCACTCGCGTCGCCATTGTCCAGCAGATTGTGTTGCTGCTTCTAGTCTCGACGCATGGGTCGTGAACGGTTAACTGGTGGCCTGCCTTGATCAGGTTGGCGGCCATCGGGTTGCCCATGTTCCCTGTCCCGATGAATCCTACTTTCATCGTTTGCTCTCCTATCTCCGCCGATGGGCGCTCTGGCAATGGGGCGCAGACGCCCTGCGGGCGGCTCGGGTTGTGTCAAGTCGTCTTGGGTCACTTCGGGCGGCGGCGGCGCGAGGTCAGCCGGCTCCGGCTGGTAGCCCGGCTGCCGATCAAAGGACTCTTTGGCAATGCGAAACGCGTTTACAAGCTGTGGCATTGCGATGCGCCGTAAAGACCATCTGGCATGAATTTCCGACGATTTGCTCCTTCGTCCCCTGGCCGATATGCAGGATGCGTGCGAATGTGGGATAGGGCGGGTGGTGGGGCGCTGCAGCAGTTCATTTGCGGCTAAATGGCCGCAGCACTGTCAACGCGAGCGAATGGTGTGCACAAGGCTGCGAGTCTGGAGGTTGACCGCCGGGCGGTTGTAGACCTCCCCGTAGACCACCTCGTCCACCATTTGCATAACTTCGGGGGCAAGCTCTGCCATGGCGGGAGGCTGACCCGGATTTCCTTCCCTGCCATAATATCGGAGCCGGAATTCCTGCGCCGCCCGGCGCAAGTCTTTGGGGCCGCGTTCAAGAGACAAAGGGAGCCTCGCCGATAAACCGTCTTGGAACCAGCGGGAATTATAACATCCGTCAGGTTGGGCAAACCACGGCGACAGCCGGCGTCATGGCTTTCAGGCACAAATCACAGGGGCAGCCCGTCAAATCGACCGCCCCTTTTGCAAACGCCATGGCCTTGACAGGCCGCTAAAGCGGCCCGTCAATCCTGTTTTAAAGGGCCTGCCAGTAACGCCGTCCTTCCAGACGGATGACCTTACCGATGTGATCGGCATTGGAGAAGTGACCGGCGGCTATCACGTACCCTTCGTTTTCCGACATGTCCAGCACTTTTTCCCGGCTCTGACGGCTCTGGCTTTTATCGATGTCGACTCCGGCGCACCACGCCGACTCCTGCACCTGAGCCTTGCTGTGCAGCACGTCGCCGACTACGATGGCCTTCTCGCCTTGAGAGGACACCAGTATGGCTTGGTGGCCCGGAGTATGTCCGGGGGTAGGCAGGGTGGATACTTCGTCAGTGATGTTGTGCTCGCCCTCGACGAGGTCCATCTTCCGCAGCCTGCGCAAGGGGGCCACGTACCGCTGCACCATGGGGTTCGAATCGGCGTTCTCCGGAGCCGTGAAGTAGTCCCAGTCCGCCTTGGGCACCAAATAGCGGGCCTTCCGGAAGGTGGGCGCCGGCATACCGCCTTGATAGCGCACATTCCAACCTATGTGGTCGCCGTGCAAGTGGGTATGCACCACGGTGTTGATTTCATCCGAAGGAGAGACGTTGGTGTTGTTCAAACGGTCGGCCGGAATCAAAATAGGACGCAACTCCTCGTAGAGGTTGCCCGTCACGTTGCCCCGGTCCGGGTGCGGTCCTGGCCCAAGGCCCGTGTCCACAAGGATGACCTGGCCTTGGCTGCGAATGACGAAGCAGCCGTAGTACAACTGGAGCTGGCCGTTTTCCAGCGCGTCTTCGTGCGGCGCCCAGTCCTCAACGGTCGTGTCCGGGAACATCGCGGTGGCTGCCCGGGGGGGCGGGATCATGTCCAGCACGGCCATAATTTCAACGTTACCCACCGTAATCTTGTCTGCCATTTAAAGCTCCTTTCTTTCGTTAGAGTAACTTGTTTGCTCTTCAATACTGGACTATCGAATAGACGTCGTACCCTTCCAGTCCTTTTCGACCGTCCAGTTCGGTCAACTCTATAACTACCGCGACGCCAGCCACCTCTCCGCCGATGCTCTCCACCAATCGGGTTGCCGCCGCCAAAGTGCCGCCGGTAGCCAACAGGTCATCCAGCAGCAGCACTTTATCACCTTGCCCCACACCATCGACGTGCATTTCGATAGCCGCTTCCCCATACTCCAGGGAATACTCGAACGAGCGAGTCTCCCAAGGGAGCTTGCCCGGCTTGCGGGCCGGAACAAGGGGCTTGCCCAGCCTGTAAGCCACGGGAGCGGCGAAAAGGAACCCCCGAGCGTCAATGGCCACTATCGAGTCGAGAGAGGATTGTTCGTACTTCCGGGTCAAATGGTCGATAACTTGGCAAAACGCCGCCGGGTTGCTTAACAGAGGGGTGATGTCCTTGAATAACACTCCAGGAATCGGGAAGTCCGGCACATCCCGAATGTATTGCTTCAGGTCCATCACGGCTTCAAAGTCCCTTTTCCCCGCTCGGCGGGCAACCCTCTAAACGTAGCCCAAGCATACAAGCCACCCGGCCTCGGGCATCCTGAAGAAGTGTAGAATAAGCTACGAATGCCGTCAAGTTTACTAACGCCAAAGTCCGTGAGGGTTTCCTGTTAGGAATGAAGACAAGTAACGTTCACCCTTGAATTGCGCTTGGCGCGGGGATATATTGAGCGCAGAACCCATCTGAAAAGCGGAGGGTACAGTAATGAGCAACGTTAAGACAGTCTTGGTAGGCACCGTGGGCCAAGGAATCATGCGCAGCGGCGACGGCGGCGAATCATGGGGGCGGGCAGGTATAACCTCAGGGTTGCACTCGGACGCCCTTGTGAGAGACCTCGCCAACCATCCCGACCGGCCCGGAATAGTGTTCGCCGGCACCGACAAAGGCCTTTACCGTAGCGAAGATGCCGGGATGAACTGGCGGCTGGTGGACACCCCGATGAGCGGCTCGTCCGTTTGGGCGGTGACCGTGGACAATGCGGACCCTAACCTGATGTTCGCCGGCACCGGCACCCCGAACCCCTGCGGCGTTTTCCGCTCCACCGACGGTGGCAAGACTTGGGAGAAGCGCCCCGTTGACATAGCAGAGGAGTGCCCCAACGTCGGCGTGCCCAGGGTGACCGGCATCGCCATCGATCCTACCAACCACCGCGACATCTGGGTCGGACTGGAAGTCGACGGGCTGCGCCATAGCTCCGACGCCGGCGACACTTGGGAGTCTATCAACGGCGCCATCCCCAACCCAGACGTACACAACGTGGCCGTCACCGGCGGCCCTCCCAGGACCGTGGTGGTGGTGGTCAACAACGACGTATACACCAGCGACGACAATGGGGCTAACTGGGACCGCTTGGGGATTCGCGAGGTCTTCCCCATGACATACCCCCGGGGAATCATGGTCCAGCCGGAAAAACCCAACGTCATTTTCGTGACCATCGGCGACACCACCCCGGGCCGCACCGGCACCATCATGCGGACCAAGGACACCGGTAAGACTTGGGAGAACCTCTCTCTGCCCGTCGAGCCCAACACCGCCATGTGGACGGTCAACATCCAGTCCACCGATCCGCAGGTCGTTTTCGCGGGAAGCCGCTACGGCTACCTGTACCGCAGCGACGACGGCGGCGATTCCTGGAACAAGGTGTGGCGGGAGTTCAGCGAGATTTCCAGCGTTATGTGGTTGCCGGAGTAATTTCCCCTTCGGCTGCGCCACTTCCCTCAGGGACGCCGGATCCCTGACCAGGGATAACCCCGGTAGATCAGGCAGACTTGAAGACCCAGCGGCGTCGTTGCAGCCGCTGGGTCTTCTCTTTTACTACTAAGAGAAGGCCGGCAGAACCTCTTCCACACACCGGCGGAACTGCCCTTGCTGGTCCCAGGACGGGAACCGCAGCAATATGTCGGTGGCCCCGGCATCCACGTAAGTCTGAAGTTGTTCGATGCACTGCTCGGGGCTGCCCAGGGCTACCCAGTTCTCCACCGCCTCCCGGCTGTAGTTTATGGAGTAGTACTGGTCCAAGTACTTTTTGGACTCCTGGAAGGCGGCTTCCCGGTCCTCGTTGATGTTGATGTTGTAATACAGGCAGCAGGGCAGGTCTTCGAAGCTGCGGTCATAGTCCCCGGCGTATTCCAAGACGCGCTTTCTTAGTTCCTTGAACTCAGGCGCGGGGTTGGCGGTAGTCATCCACCCGTCACCCATCTTGGCGACCCGCCGCAAAGACCTTTCGATGATGTGGGGTTTCCCAACCGACAGGCGCGGGTTGCTTGTGACCCAGATGGGCGGCGGTTCCTGCACCGGCTTGGGCTCGATGAAGGCGTTCTCCATTTTGTAGAACTGTCCTTCGTAGCTCACCCGGTCTTCTGTCCATAACTTGCGCAACAGGACTATGTTTTCCTCCATGCGATGCGCCCGATCGGAAGCCTTGATCCTCATGTTCCGGTACTCGGTGCGGTGCTCCTGCTGGTCAATGCTGCCGCCCATGCACGCTGCCAGGACCATACGGCCGTTGGAGATCACGTCCAGGCTCGCCCACTGGTAGGCCAGGACTATCGGGTCGCGGGACGGGAAGCTGGCCATGCAGGCTACGCCGATTTGCACATTCCTGGTGCGCCCGGCAATGGCCGCCATTGTGGTTATCGACTCCATGCGAGGCTTGGCCATTATCGAGTCGCCTACCCATACGTGCTCGAAGGCGCCGGAGGCATCGGCGCTTTCCGCCATCTCCAGAATGTCTTCCGCTTGGACCAACCCAAGAAGAATCCCTCTATTGGACAGGGTAAGACCGAACTTGACCTTCGATGCCATATTTCCTCCTGCTATGCTTGGATTCCCGCCTGCGCGGGAAGGACGAGTTGAGGCGAGTTATTGGAGTGTGTCTCGAGCTACACTATCGGCCAGCGCGACGGAAAGTTGACCCCGGTACGTTCCATCAGGTCTTGGCCTATTCGTTGCACCCTTTGGATCAGTTCCCACTCATCGACAAACAGGGGATTGTGGTCCTCCACGACCACCTTGCCGTCGACTATGACGGTATGGACGCTTCTGCCGTCGGCGTTGTACACCAGGTTGTTCACCGGATTGAAGATGGTCCTCCACTCCGGACGCTTGGTGTCGAACAACACAAGGTCCGCTTTCTTGCCGACCTCAATCGAGCCGACCTCTTCACCCAGCCCAAGGGCCTTTGCCCCTTGGATGGTGGCCATCTCCAGTGCGGTCTCCGCCGGAATCATCCCCACGTCCTGCCTGCCGTCCTTGTACAGCACGGCGGCCAAGTACATGGAACGCATGGTCTCGATGAGGTTGGAGTTGTTGCCCGCGTCGGTCCCCAACCCTACGGTGACACCCTTTTGCAACATCTCCGGCAAGAGCCCGTCTCTGGTCATGCCGGACCCGCCCTTGACCGCTGCGGTGGGGCACATGACAGCGTTAGTTTGTGTGCGAGCCATGCAGTCTACTTCCGCCTCATCCAAGCCCAGGACGTGGGCCAGTAGGGTATTGGGCCCCAGGAAACCGATCTCCTCCAGGAACTCGGTGGGTCGCTTGCCGTGTTCGCTCATACTTGCCGCCACGGCTTGGGAGTTGCCGTTGCAGTGCAGCGTCAGCCCGGTGCTGTACCGGTCGGCGATGTCCTTGGCCCCCGAGAGCAACTCCCGGCTGGAGTACGAGGCTGAGAAGGGCATGGCCCACGCCCGCACCCGGCCCTCCAAGCCGTGATCGTAGTCCTGAACGGTCCTTTCCATCATGGAGACTGCGTCCGCAGTGGTGGACACCGGGATGTTCAGGGGATTGGGCCGGTCCGCCACCTGCCAACCGACGACTATGCGGCAGCCCGACTGTTCGTAAGCCTGCATACAGGCGTCCAGGTACTTGGTGCTGCCCGGGTCCAGGAAACAAGTGGTGCCATATTTCAATAGCTCGGTAATCGCCAACAGGGACGTGTAGTACTCCTCCTCGGCGGTCATAGCGCCTTGAAGCTTGAACACGTTGGGCAAATAGGCCGCGCCCAAGTCGTCGGGGAAAATGCCCCGTGTGGCGTGGGCGTAGCTGATGTGCATGTGCCCGTTGGAAAACCCTGGGGTCACTACCATTTCGCTGGCGTCGATAACCCGTTCCGCCTGGACTGATGCAAGTTCGGTAGACTTGCCTACCTGCACAATCCGTTGGCCGTCGATGACTATAGAACCGTCCTCGATAATGCGGCGTTCCGGGTCCAACGTCATCAGAAATTTGGCGCCCTGTATTTTCACAGAAGGAAGTTTCATAGACCCTATAATACCTTCGCCGCAGCCCATCGCCAACCTTTGCGAACGTCGTCTTGCCCTCCCGCTCCGCCGTGGGTATCATGCTTGACACCCTCATCGGGTTCAGGAGGAAAGGTGGCAACAGAGCAAGTGACATTCGGGTGCAACTTGACCATGGAAGACTATTGGGACGTTGCGGAGTTCGCACGGAGGGCCGAGGCCCTGGGATTTGACCGGATCACCACCGGAGAGCATCTCATGGACGGGAACCCGCCGCGGCCTACGGTTCTCGGGCTCCCCGCGATGGCCGCCGCTGCCGGCGCCACCCCGCTCCCTGCGAATCATGACCGGCATTGTTATCGTCCCCCTGTACCATCCTGTGATGCTGGCGAAGTTGGCGGCCACCGTGGACGTTGTATCCGGCGGCAGGCTGGACTTTGGCATCGGCATCAGCGGCCAAAGAGGCACGAAAGTGGAGTTCGACGCCGTGGGAATTTCCGTGCGCACCCGCGGACGCCGCACCAACGAGATCCTCGAAGTAATGAAACGGCTGTGGACTGAGGAGCACGTCAGCCACGACGGGGATTTTTTCAAGTTCGAGGACGTTACCCTGCTGCCGCAACCGGTCCAAAAGCCGCATCCGCCCATCTGGGTGTCCGGCCGCAGCGACGCCGCAATGCGCCGCGCGGCTTTGCAAGGCGACGGTTGGTACCCTTACCTGTTTACGGTCCGGCGGTTGCGCCGCAGCAACGAGGCCCTCCGGGAGATCGCCGCTGAGGCGGGGCGGGACCTGACGGGATTCCACTGGGGATTGAACCAGCCAACGTCGATAATGGAGGACCCAGAGCAAGCTTTGGCTCTAGCGGTGGAGAACGTGGGTCAACGTTATGTCACTCCGGAGCGCAGCGCCGAAGACATCGCCCGGGCTTTGTGCATCAGCGGAACACCGGAGGACTGCGTACAGGCCATCCAGGAACGAATCGACGCAGGCGTAAGGAAATCAACTTCAGTTTCCTGGCTCCGGAGGCGGACTTGTTCTACCAGCAGATGGAGTTGTTCTCCAGCCGGGTGATGCACCATTTCCGTTAGACCATACTATCCCGTGTATGAAACCCACATGGGATCACCCGGTTACGGTACGCTTGTTGACGTTTGCGAGGATTGATGTAGTATCGAACTCAACTGGTACGAATTTACCTGTAATCAGGCTGGCCATTAGCCGGCTGCCCGCAAGGGGTTGGAGGTAATCATGGAATTTGGTCTGTTTCTAGAATTTCCCAAGAGAGAGGGCGCAACCCAGCAACAGGCCTTTGAGGAATGCTTCAGTTTAGCCGACGAAGCCGAAGCGCAGAGCAACGTGGACTCGGTATGGCTGGCGGAGTACCACTTCACCCCCGACCGCGTCCTGTCCTCTCCGGTTACCATCGCCACCGCCATTGCCGCCCGCACCCAGCGAATAAGGATCGGCTTGGCGGTGCTGTGCCTGCCGTTGGGCCACCCTGTCCGCATCGCCGAAGAGGTTGCCACCCTGGACCATATCAGCAAAGGCCGCTTGGAATTCGGAGTTGGCCGTGGCACCTTCCCCAACGTACACGAAGGGTACAACGTGCCGTTTCATGAAAGCCGCGGCCGCTTCGACGAGTTCCTAGACGTTATCGTGAAGTCCTGGACTACCGAAAAATTTTCCTACGACGGCAAGTACGTCGTCTGCCAGGACCTAGCTGTAGAACCCAAGCCTTTCCAGAATCCCCATCCGCCCATCCACGTGGGCATCACCTCCGAGGAAAGCTTCCCGATAGTCGGACAGCTAGGCTACCCCATTCTGATTAACCCGTCTCGTGTTTTCACTCTATCTGAATTGGTCCCTTACATCGCTCAATACCGGGCGGCGTGGAAGGAAGCGGGGCACGATGGAGAAGGCCAGGTTGGGATTCGAGTCCCCATCTACGTTGCTGAGACCGCAAAACAGGCTTACGAGGAGCCACAGGACAGCGCAATGTTTTCGGTCCGGCGCTTGGGGGCCCGGGTAGGCAGCTACGCCACCTACGGAGGCACTACCGGTGACTGGCGGGCGCAGTCCGACCGGATTATGGAAATGAACTACGACGATTGGCTGAGGGACAAGGTGGTGTACGGGACTGCCGAGAGCGTAACGGACCGCCTGCACGAACTAACTGAGGAACTTGGCTTGGACCAAGTCATGTTCGAAGTGAATTACGGCAATCAGATTCCCTTGGAGCGACAGCGCAAATCACTGCGGATGTTCACGGAGAAAGTAATCCCGCATTTCAAGTAGGGTGTTTTGTGTGAAAGGCGGAAAAAGGGAGGGGTGAGGGCCGTCAGAGTTGCGACCCCATAAAGTCACGGTGGCCCCGCAAGAACTCGTCGGCCTTCAAGGGACGCCGCCCTTCCAGTTGCAACGTTTTCAACACCAACACACTATCGCAGGTTATCACCCCCACCGGCCCATGCTTCCCCGGCCCATCCGGCGCCCCATTCTCGACATCCAAGGCCACCACCAAGCCCGGCGGACCTCCGCCGACGGCAAAGGCGTCGGATAAGGCTTCCACCTCAAGCAGCTTCAAAACCCTCCCCTGCCAGTTGGTAAACAACCCTGGCCAAGGGGTATAGGCCCGTTGCCGGCGCCACAGCGCGGCCGCGGGAAGATTCCAATCAGCCAAGCCGTCGTTCCGTTCCAACTTCCGGGTGACAGTAGCAGCGGAATGGTCTTGAGGCTCGGCGGTCAACCGCCCCTCCACCCACGGCTCAAGGCATTCCAGTAACAATTCGCTTCCAAGTTTGAACAACGATGCGGTCAGCGTCTCGGCGGTGTCGTCCGACAACACTGGACATGTCCGGCGCGCAATGACAGGACCGGTGTCCATCCCTTCATCCAACAGCATCAACGTGACTCCCGTCTCCTCTAATCCATCAACGATTGCCGATGACACCGGCGACGGGCCTCGATAACTGGGCAACAGGGACGGGTGCAGGTTCAAGCATCCATGTGGAGCAGCATCCAACACCGCGGGCGGCAACAGCTTGCCGTAAGCTGCAACCACTATCACGTCCGGTTTGAGACTTGCCAGTTCCGCCTGCGCTTGAGACGACCGGAATGAAGCGGGCTGATGGACCTTCAATCCAAGCTCCAGCGCCCGAACCTTGACCGGCGGCATCCGGTCCGCGCGGCCCCTTCCTCCTGGCCGGTCGGGCGGCGTGTACACACCCGCCAATTCAACCGATGACGCCTCGGCTAAATCATCCAGAATCGGCGCAACGAAATCAGGGGTCCCCATGAAGACCAGCCGCATCAATTCTCCTGGCGCAGTCCTTCTTAACGACAAAGCAAACGCGGGCATCCCGGGATCAGCCTGTGATGGCGCAGCGCCGATTTTTCCAATGCGTCAATTTGGCTTGACATGCTGGAAAAGGGGTTGCTAAAATAGCGTAACCGCTTCGCGGAAATCTCAAGAAGGAGGTGATAGTTTATGGAAGTTAGTTTAACATGCAGGGGCGATGGTAGGCATCTGTCTGGACACGACGAGGTGATCGTAAGCTAACACTCCTTTGTAAACATAGCGAGAACCCGTTGTCGGGCCCAGGCCAATGTCTACCATCGCCCCTCGCACTTGAGTCATGGATAGGGGTGAACTCCGGCAGATGGCTGGGCCCGATCCCTTTTTACCACCCCTCATTTTCTCCGCCGCAACGGTTAAGACAACGCCAAGTCTCGGTAGGGGCGCCAGTTAGCTTCCTGACACCGGGATTTCTTTTTTGTCCTGCATAATGCGTCCCGAGTGGAGTCGCAACAACTGTACCAGCAATGGCCTTCAGATTGACATCAGACCACCGTCAGAATAAAATCGGCATTACTTGTAATAGCATGCACAGAAGGACTTCGGAGACTTAATGCTAAGAATTCGCCTACGGAGAGTCGGAAAGAAAGGTAAACCGTCGTACAGAATCGTGGTAGCGGAGGCCAGCGCACCGCGTGACGGAGCCTATGTGGAATGGATCGGGAATTACGACCCGATGGTTGACCCACCCGCGTACACCATTAAAATGGAGCGGGCTCAAGAGTGGATGGGAAAGGGCGCCCAACCATCGGACGCAGTCCAACGTATCTTGGACTGGACCGTTGCAGCCAAGAACGCCATTGTTGAGAATGAGGAAGAAAGCGACGTAGAAGAGGCGGATGCAATGGCGGCGTCTGCTGAGTCCGCTGGGGAACACGTGGCTGGCGAGGCCGCTGAGGCATGAAGGAACTGATCGAGTACATCGCCCGCTCTCTTGCAAGTAACCCCGATGCGGTGGTGGTTACGGAAGACATTGAGCAGGGCAGGGTGATCCTCAGGCTTGAGGTAGCTCCCGAAGACAAGGGTAAAGTGATTGGCCGGCAGGGCCGCGTGGCCCAAGCCATGCGAGTGATGTTGAGGGTTGCGGCGGTCAAAGACGGGACTCACGCGGTCTTGGAGATTGTTTAGACGATCCAAGCCTCTGGTCCACGTGTTGGCAATATGGATTCATGTTTGGCGCCAGGGTTGGGATGGAAGACTCCACGGTCGTGACAGTAGGTAAAGTCCTCAGCGTCCACGGCACATCAGGTGGAGTGAGGATTGAGGTATTGAGTGATGTCTCGGACCGCTTCAATATCGGGAAAGTAGTCCAAGTCTCATCCAAGTCATACCGGATTACCGGGTCCAAGCCTATACGCACCAGCCAGATTATCCTCAGTCTACAAGGGTTGCATACCCGAGAAGCGGCCCACCTTCTGGTAGGCGGCTGGATTACGATCCCGATAACGGAAGCTCCCCAACTGTCCAGTTGGGAGTTCTTTTATTTTCAGTTGCTGGGACTCCAAGTCGTTACCGACGAGGGCGAAGACTTGGGACATCTGACCGACATCATGGAAACGGGCAGCAACGATGTCTACGTGGTGACTGGTCAAGGCAGGGAATTGTTGATTCCGGCTTTGTCCGACGTGGTCAAAGAAATCAAATTGGACCAAGGGGTCATGGTAGTACATCTGCTGGATGGGTTGCGTTAACCTCTTTGACCCTTCCAAAATGCAAGTGCTAAAATCTGACTCCATGAAATGGCTCTTCAGCCGGTTCTGAATACCCGGTGGGGGACCATCTGCCTGGACCGCTGACAGGCGCCGGGCATTGCAGGGGGAAAGGCCCTTCCCTATAACACACCAAGGGGGTTACATCGTGTCTGGTCACTCAAAATGGTCAACAATCAAACACCAGAAGGGCGCGGCCGACGCCAAGCGCGGCGTGTTGTTTACCAAGCTGAGCCGGGACATCACGCTGGCTGTGCGGGATGGCGGAGGCGGCGACCCGGACATGAACTTCAGGCTCCGGTTGGTCTTAGACAAAGCCAAGAGCAGCAACATGCCCCAGGACAGCATATCGCGGGCGATTAAACGAGGCACCGGCGATGGCAGCGATGGAGGCGAAAGGCTGGAAGAGGTAGTCTACGAGGGGTACGGTCCTGGCGCCGGGGCAATCCTTTTGCAGGCCGTAACTACCAACCGGAACCGCACAGCGGCTGACATCCGCTACGCATTTACACGCGGCGGCGGCAATTTGGGGGACACCGGGTGTGTGGCTTGGAACTTCGAGACCAAGGGCGTCATCGCCATGGAGATTGACGACGAAGACTGGGCTGAGGAACTTGGCCTGCTGGCCATTGACGCCGGAGCCGACGACATCAAAATCGACGAGGGCCTGCTGGAGATTTTCACTGCCCCGGACTTGTTATTAACGGTGCAAACGGCGTTGCATGGCGAGGGTGTGACTCCCGAGACCTCCGAGATTTCGATGGTCCCCAAGACTACAGTGACCTTGGCGGAGAAAGAGGCGGAGCAAACCCTGAAATTGTTGGATGCTCTTGAGGACCTGGACGACGTGCAAAAGGCCTACACCAGCGCAGATTTTCCCACTGAAGTATTAGACAAATACCGCTCGGCCAACTAACCCGCGGACAAGGTTCAACGCTTATGCTGGTTCTTGGTATAGACCCTGGCACCGTCCGAATGGGGTACGGCGTTCTGACTTCGGGAGAGAACGTGGAGGTAGACGACTACGGCGTTATCGCGTTGCCGGACGGGATGCCCTTGGAGCAACGGCTATACCAGCTTTATACCCACGTCGTAAACATGATCGCTATTTTCCACCCAACGGTCATCGCCGTGGAAAAACCTTTCGTGGGCAGAGGAGAGCGCCAATTTTCCGGCCCGGCCATCGCGGTGGGGCAAGCCCAGGCTGTAGCGTTCATTGCCGGGGCCAGCCAGGGCATCCCAATCTTCCAATACTCCCCCGCGCAAATAAAGAGTTCAGTGGCCGACTTTGGCGCTGCGTCGAAGGAACAGATGCAGCAAACGATTGCCGCTATCCTGGGGCTTCCTGACACGCCGCAGTCAGACGCCGCCGACGCCCTGTCGGTGTGCCTTTGCCACGTCATGCGGAGCCAGTCCGACTTAGCCCTCTCCAGAGAGATACCTCCCGGGCTGGAGAGGTAGTGGGTGATTGTCAGTGTCAAGGGTAAGCTGGAGGCTATAGGCGCCGACTGGTTCCATGTAGAGGTCGGCGGCGTTACGTTGCAGATTTCCGTCCCTGCCTCCAATATCAGCCATCTAGGCCCGTTGGGCGGGTCTGTGCAATTGTTCACTAATCTCCGCATCCGCGACGAACAGCCGGTCATGTACGGGTTTCCGACTATGGCCGCGCTGGAACTGTTCATCATGTTAACCGGGGTATCGGGAGTAGGTCCCAGGCTGGCGTTGGCGCTGCTCTCCAGCCAAAGCACGGCTAATCTCCAAGGGGCAATCTCCCAAGGCAACGTCGAGTCGCTGAGTTCGGCCCCTGGCGTCGGACGGCGAACGGCGGGCCGGATAGTTGCCTTTGTAGTTCTGTTTAAGAATCGTGAGTGCACCACACCCCAACAGACTTACAAACAAAAACAAACACAACACCAGGTTAATGTTCGGATGGTGGTGTAAAAAAGAAATCAAGAACAAGCTGGCCGACGGCCTCCCCGAGGCTGCCCCAATGCCCGGCTCCCAGGACGCCGAGGTTGTCGAAGCGTTGATGGCCCTGGGATACTCCACTTCCGAGGCCCGCCAAGCCGTAAACCGCTTGACCGACGCCGGTGACATTCCGTTGGAAGAACGCATTCGAATGGCGTTGCAGAATTTCGGGTCTGCGTGAAGCATTAGGTTGCCATAATTTGATAGGCCGTTGTTATCTCCACGTCACGAACCGGCAATTACTATACACAGAGGTGAAGGGTGACCACACAGAACATTAAGGCAGAAGCTCATATCCTCGTGGACCAACTTTCGGATGAGGCGACTTGGGAAGACTTGATGTATCGTATATACGTCAGACAAGCCGTTGAATCAGGACTGCGAGACGTAGAGAACGGTCGCACTCTGGACGTGAAGGAGGTTCGTTCCAAGTTGGATTTGCCCCAGTGACAGAAACCGCCCTAAAGCATCTGCCGGGCATATATGAACATATCGCTGAAGATTCACCCGTATATGCTCTACAAATGATCGACGCGATTATATCCCGTTCGGAACAACTATCCGCATATCCACTATCCGGGCGTATCGTCAGCGAGTATGAGCCCCGAGGTGTCCGGGAGATTATCGAAGACTCATCTACCAAGTAGCAGAGCAACAAGTAGACATTTTAGCCTTGGTTCATGGCTCACGGCTTCTTCCTGCGGAATTATAAGATCTCGACTGCAAAATTCGCAGTAAACTCGCTCCAATCGGCTACTGTTTGGAAACCGTATTGCAACGCATAGTGGTGGGGGATTGAAAAGAACTACATGTCTCAATTAACCAGAATTAAAAAGCGTGTAGAGGCCGGTCAGGAAATAACCCGGATTTCCGCGGCCGGGGGCGAGCTGGAAGACAGGCCTTTCCAACTGACCTCCGACTTCAAAATGACCGGAGACCAGCCTCAAGCGGTGGCCCGCTTGGCGGAAGGCGTGCGGAACGACTTGACCTACCAGACCATGCTGGGCGTGACCGGCAGCGGGAAGACTTTTACCATGGCCAACATCGTCCAGGAGGTGCAACGACCAACCCTGGTTATGGCCCACAACAAGACTCTTGCCGCCCAGTTGGCCTCGGAGTTCAAGGAGTTTTTCCCTCACAACGCGGTAGAGTACTTCGTCTCATACTACGATTACTACCAGCCGGAAGCCTACGTCCCTCAATCTGACACCTACATCGAGAAGGACTCCAGCGTCAATGAGGAACTGGACAAGCCCTGCTTGTCCGCAAAGTGGGAAGAATCCCCCCCCACTGGTTTGTGTGTGGTTGGTTGTGGTGTGGTCCCCCTGATTACACGACGGGATGTCCTGTCGTCGCTCTGTTCTCGCTCATCTACGGCTTAGGAGACCCCAGGGACTACTTCAACCTGGTGGCCCAAGTTAAGGTCGGAGAGGAACAGAGTCGCAGCCGGTTGATGCGGCAATTGGTAGACATGCAGTACGAGCGTAACGACATGAACCTGGCCAGGGGCAAGTTCCGTATACGGGGCGACACGCTGGAAATCATCCCCGCATACGAGGAGGCTGCGGTCAGGGTCCAGTTCTGGGGCGACGAGGTAGAGCGCATAGTGCAGTTGGACCCGCTAACCGGCGAGATGCTGGCCGATATGGCGGAAATCGCCATATATCCCGCCAACCACTTCGTGACGTCCAAAGACAAGCTTGACGCGGCAGTAAACGATATCCGGGTCGAGTTGGAAGAGAGGCTGGCGGAGTTGCGGGCCGGGGGGAAAATACTCGAAGCGGCCCGCTTGGAAAGCCGCACCCACTATGATTTGGAAATGCTCCAGGAAACCGGCTTTTGCTCCGGCGTAGAGAACTACTCCAGGCACTTGGCCCGCAGGGCGGCGGGCAGCTCTCCCTGGACCCTGCTGGACTACTTCCCCGAAGACTACCTGATGTTCGTGGACGAGTCTCACATGACGCTGCCCCAAGTCCGCGGCATGTACCACGGCGACATGTCCAGAAAGCGGACACTCGTGGACTTCGGGTTCCGCCTGCCCTCCGCTATGGACAACCGCCCGCTCAACTTCGAGGAGTACGAGGACCACATCAACCAAGTCGTCTATGTGTCCGCCACACCCGGACCCTTTGAAATGAAGCGCAGCGCCATGACAGTGGAGCAGGTTATACGACCCACGGGCCTGTTGGATCCTACGGTTGAGGTGAAGCCCACGGAGGGCCAGATCGACGACCTGTTGCAGCAGATAAAGGAGCGGATAGAGCGGTCGGAACGCTGCTTGGTCACGACTCTGACCAAGCGCATGGCCGAAGAACTGGCCGATTACCTGTCCGAGATGGGTATACGCAACAACTACCTCCACTCGGACATACAGACCTTGGACCGGATAGAAATCCTTAGAGACCTGCGCTTGGGCGTGTTCGACGTTATCGTCGGAATCAACCTGCTGCGCGAAGGACTGGACCTGCCCGAAGTAAGCTTGGTGGCCATCCTGGACGCGGACAAAGAGGGCTATCTCCGCTCTAACACGTCACTGATACAGACCATCGGTCGGGCGGCCCGCCACGCCAACGGCCAAGTCATCATGTACGCCGACCGCATCACCGACTCCATGCGGCAGGCGATAGACGAGACCAACCGCAGACGAGCCATTCAGGACGCCTTCAACAAGCAGCACGGCATTGAGCCCCAGAGCATCCAGAAAGAGGTCCATGACATTACCGAGGGCATCAAGACGATTTCGGAGAACAGGGCGCGTTACCAAGTGGTGCGCAGCGAGATGTCCAGGGCCGACATGTACCGAGTGGTCAAAGACCTCGAAGGGCAAATGAAGGAGGCGGCCAAGAGCCTCCAGTTCGAGAAGGCCGCCCAGTTCCGCGACGAAATCTTCGAGTTGCGGAGGCTGTTAGTGCTGGAGGAGAAGGTGCTCACTCCAGCGGCGTTCGGAGCCGAAGAGTAACTAGGTCGTCAGTTGAAGCCGCTGGTGAACCCAACGGTGGACATCCGGAGTTACCGACCAATCACCCCACCGCCGCATCCACCAGCCGGTGCAACCGCTCCAACTGCCGGGCGTTCTCTTCCGTGGTGAACCCGTCGACACGATAGATCCAATCGCCGGTGGTGCCGTCAACTGCGCCCATGTCGACCGACACGCAAATGGCGCGAGTGTCATCCTCCAAGCTGGGTAGAAGGTTGCGCCCGTCCAGCTTGGACAGGGCCGCCACCAAGCCGTAGCCGCCCCAGTTGGACACGCTGGATATGATCAAGCGGTCAACGGTGGTTACTCCGGGGTCGTTGGGCAAGGTTTCCACTTGCGGAATGAACTCCACCAAGTTGCCCATGCCGATTTCGTTGCCGCCGTCGCCTATGCCCACCGACGGGATCCCGGCTTCGAAGAGATAGTCCAATCGCGCGGTATACGGAGTAATGTCCATATACCGCATGTTCAGGTAGGCGTCGTCGTTGGTGCGGCTGCACCGCTCTATGGAGATAATCAGAGACAAGTCCAGCTTTTCAAGCATCTCCGCGGAAACCTTTTTGCTGGTCTCCACGTCGGCGACGGGGAACTCAATAATCTCGGCTTCATCGCCCAGAATACCTCGGAGTATGGGCATGGAGCAATCGTCGCTGATGTAGGTAACCTTCCGGCTCAGGGCCTGCAAGGCGTTGCCGATGGCGACCGCCCCGGCCGGTCCGTCAGTCTCAGGTTTCCCCGCTGCCAGGATGTAAAAGCCGGTGACTATGGCCACGTTACCGGGATGGTCCATGATGTATTGCGCCGCTTGGGCGCAAAAATCGTCGTCCATGTAAGGACGAAGCTGGGCAACGCCTCTTTTGTCCTGTTCAAGTATTATGTCTCCAATGGTTTCGCCCATTGCCGCTCCAAGTCCGGTTAAGGACATTCTTTTCAACCCCTCAAGCAGACTCCCGGCAGCGCCGCCATGCCCAAGGGGTCATCACGTAATACCGGCGCCATCACCGCGGGAAGGTTACAAGACGGCGTACTCCGCGTCTCGCTGGTCGGTTATGAACATCATCCCCGGAGCGTGGGTCATCATCAAACTGGGCTTGCAGTTGAGGGCCACCGCTTGCGGTGTGACGCCGCAGGCCCAGAAGACCGGCTCTTCGTCGGGATATATCTTCACAGCGTCCCCGAAGTCGGGAGCGGCTATATCCCTGATGCCGATGGCTGCGGGGTCCCCAATGTGTACCGGCGCGCCGTGAGTGGCCGGGAACCGCGACGTCACCTGCACCGCCCGCACGATCTGGTCCCTTTTGATGGGACGCATACTGACCACCATTGGGCCGGAAAACTGCCCCGCGGGATTGGTGGCGATATTGGTGATATACATCGAGACGTTGGTGCCCATCTCCTGATGCCGCAAGGGTATTCTGGCATCGATCATTG